TCTTTGGAGTGATGGAAATGGCAATATGTGGATTAATCTTTACCATTTGAGCATTTCAATGGCTTAGGCTACCTAAGGTGTTCATTGTTTTAGATTTGTATGAAGACGCCATCCCTAGATGTACTTAATTATGTGTTAGATGGACTGTGTTGCTAGTTAATCTATGAAGGAGGCTGAGGAAGACCTTGGTCTGTTGGTTTATCTTACTTATTGTCCTAGTTACATCGATATCCTTCTACTTGTCGGTAGATTGATCATATTGCTATTGATGAGTATTAATAGTCAGTAATGACCTATGCTTTGATCTAGTGGATCGGTTTAGCATACGTTTGAATACTATTCCCACATTAGTGCTGAATAAAAAGTGGAAAAAAACGATGCCCACCAAAAAAATCTCCTAGCAACAAATTATTGACCTCCTCTAGGGATCTACACGACTAATTGGAAAAGAGTTGAATGTACTTAATCCTCCTCACACTAGCGGAGCCCCCACTTAAAAACTCCAAATAAAAGACCTGAAGCATATTTGGAAGGTTTAAACCATAATTTGGATTACCAAATGGTTTCCAAACATAACATGCTTATAATCGAATTGAGCGGCTAGACGAGACGAATCCAACGAGCCCACAATCGTCGAATTCTGATATCACTTAGACATTTAAATGACCAATAAACGGTTCACGATCAAGAGATTCAACATTGGCAGTCCATTCAAATCACTCCAAATTTAATTTCCTATTCATTTACATTTTTTTTTCTTGGTTGATATTAGCTTAATCCTGTATTGATACGATCTTAAAAAGATTTTATAGTTTTTTTTTTGTGCAATGATATTTTTAATATCACGTATTCATTTAATGTATTGAACCCGTTCTAGCAAAAATCAAGTGATTTGATGATTGGAAGTCATTTTATGAAGGAAAAAAATAAACTAATTCACTACCAAAGTTTTATCATTTTTAAAGCTGATTATATCGGTCCTAAGCACGGATGTAAAAAGTTGAAGGAAAATTTTTGAAAAATTAATGATATTCTTCCTAAATGCGTATAATGATTTTGAAGTGATTAACATGGTCGTAATTATTAGAGGCATCTTTGTGGGAATCTATTGTAAGTAGCTTGAGAGGCAAGGATCCATGAAAATCACAGGTAAGAGGTTGCAACTTGCACTCTACATGGTATTTTTCATGCATCAAATGTAAAAGTTCATCATGTGGGGCATCATTGATGTGTGCCAAAGGCGAGATTACCATATTTAGAGATTGATCAAGAGTAGATTGATATTCTTGTGAGGAATGAGTTGAGCTTGTTGTGTCGATGAGGCTATTGATTGGTAGAGAAGCTTTTATCTGGAGCAAGAAACCCACCTTCAGGTCAACAACCTCCAATATGAAGTTGAGTTTGAGGGTGAGTCGAGTGGGAGTGTGATAGGAAATACTTGAGTTCAAGTATTTCCTAGCCAAATCTGAAGTAAAACATGAAGAAAATTGCTGTTTTCAGCAGAGGATAGCAGCCAAACACAGGAAAACAACGAGAAATTGCGAGAAAACTGAGAGAAAACTCAAGAAGAAACTGTGTTGATTTTTTCTTGGATTTGGAGGAGAAATTTCATCTTTGGAAGAGCATTAGGGCAAACCCTAACTTGGGAACCCTAGGGCGTATCAGCATCTTTGTGGGGATTTATTGTAAGTAGCTTGAGAGGCGAGGATCCATGAAAATCACAGGTAAGAGGTTGCAACTTGCACTCTACATGGTATTTTTCATGCATCAAATGTAAAAGTTCATCATGGAGAACATCATGTGGGGCATTATTGATGTGTGCCGAAGGCGAGATTACCATATTTTGAGATTGATCAAGAGTAGATTGATATGCTTGTGAGGAATGAGTTGAGCTTCTTGTGTCGATGAGGCCATTGATGTTGGTGGAGAAGCTTCTATCTGGAGCAAGAAGCCCACCTTCACGTCAACAACCTCCAATATGAAGTTGAGTTTGAGGGTGAGTCGAGTGGGATTGTGTTGGGAGAGGACCGATTTGTGAGTCTTGTGGATGAGATGAATGATCTTATTCTAAGAATATTGCACACAATGTGCGTGCTCTTCAAGAATATGTTGGAATTCGTGCATGGAGTTTTTCTTGTTTAGAGGAAGCATAGTAGTAGTTAGATTTGAGGTTTTCCTGTTCGTGAACATATTTCATACTTTGTGGATCTATTTGTAGATTTTAAGAGGGGAGAGCAGGGGGTGGGGATGGAGGTAATTTGATCCTTATCCAATATTTTTCTAGAATGTTCCTATCAACAATGGACGCTCTAAATAACCCCTTCACTTGATTAACAAGTAACTAGATGATCCCACAGCTATTCACAGTTAGAACGACTCTTCGAAGCCATGCCTAGCTGAGGTCGCCTTGGGATGCTGTTAGTGAAGTTTTCAATTAATAAATGGAAGGCGCAGGCTTCAAATATCTCGATGCCACAAACACAATAAAGTTCAATTGAAAATTCGAAGCAAAACTTGGAGCATAGGTCATGTTTGACCTTGACCTAAAAATGGCATTGATTAGGTACAATTTTGGTTTTGGCTCCAAAGGGTTGGTTGGCTATATATGCCACGCATATCTTTTAATTGATGGCACTATATGATTATCAAGACATGTGACCGACATAATTTGTGGATAATATAGGGTTGCCTTGTGTATAAATATATATATTTATATAGGTCATGTTTTACCTTGACCTAAAAATGACGTTGATTAGGTACAATTTTGGTTTTGGCTTAAAAGGGTCGGTTGGCTATATATGTCACGCATATCTTTTGATGGCACTATATGATTATCAAGACATGTGACCGATATAATTTGTGGATAATATAGGGTTGCCTTGCTTGGCCGACCCTTATATATATATATATAATGGTTTTGACTTGATCGTCTTCATAAGTAGAATTTCAACATGACTGATAGAACAAGAATCAGATACTTATGGGAGTCGCAATAAATTCAATGAGAGGAGTTTTAAGAGGATCTTGGTCGGTTGACATCGCAATTCTTGGGATGGACGACTTGGACCGTTGGGCGCAATGTAGGTTGTGTAGGCAGGATGGGATGTCACCCCCTAGGTAGAACTTGATGTATTTAACTTAGTTTAACTGTTTCACATGTAAATTTTGGTCGGAATCTCTCGATTTTGTCCCATTGGACTTGTATAAAGTTTAACTGATTCACAGATGAATTTTGTGATTCATGTCAACTATGAAGTGATTGTTTTGTATTAGAACAATCAATGAAAAAATATTATGAACAACACAACAACAACAACAACAAGCCTTTATCCCACTACGTGGGGTCGGCTACATGAATCCTTTTTCTCCATTGTGTCCTATTAAGGTCAAATTCTCGTTTAAATCTAATAAAGAAAGGTCATTCCTAATATTTTCTAACCAAGTCTTTTTAGATCTGCTTCTACCTTTTCTTAACAAAATAAGTTAAAATCTAATATCTCTACTCTCCTAACCGGGGTCATGGAAGGCCGCCATTTTATGTGACCAAACCATCTAAGGCGACCCTCTCTAATCTTATCTTCTACTGGAGCTACTCCAACCTTTTCACGTATATGCTCATTTCTTATCCTATCTCTAAGGGTAAAGCCACTCATCACACCTGAGCATCATCAACTCTGCCACACTTAACTTAGTATTATGCTTCTCTTTTAATGGCCAACATTCAGCACCATAAAACATTGCAGGCCGCTCTGTTAGACCCGTCCAGGGACCGTCCAGCCGGTCCACGCGGACCGGCCCAGACTGCGCGCAACGGAGCTTCTCCGCCTGGGCAGAGGCGCGCGAGCCGCGCTTTTTGTGGGACATTTTAGGAAGAAAATTTTGAGGAAGATTAGGAGAATTGAATGTAGGGTATGTTTAGGGAATTCCTTTTGAATTGTATGCATTAAATAGTGGATTTTGCTAGGGTTTGGGCATTTGAATTTTGGCTGAAATTTGAGATCTCTTAGATTTAGGTTTTTCTGGGCTTCAGGCCGTCTAGAGATTTGGAGAGATCGATCCTCCTCTCGAATTGAGGATCAATTGTATCTTGCTGTTTTTATTCATCTACTAGTGAAATACAAGCTTTCCTTTGAGTTTTCTTCCTCATATTTTTCCCGGAACAAGGGCTGTTTTTCTGCCTGTAAACAGCAGATTTCTGCTGTTTTCCTGCTGTGGATAGCCATTTGGCTGCTTTTGTCGCCGATTTTCGTTAGGTTACTTGCGAACTCAAGTATTTCCTATCAGCCTCACTACTATCTCATAGAATTTTCCCTTAAGTTTGAGGGGTACTTTTCTATCACACAACAAGCCCGATGCATTCCTCCACTTCAACCACCAACTTGAATTTTGTTGATAGATACCCATCAATTTCACCATCACTCTGAACAATAGATCCAATATATCTAAAACGTGTACTCTTATTAATGACTTGATCGCCCAAAGTCACAATACCCTCACTAGGTCTATTACTACTAAAATTACACTCCATATATTCCGTTTTAGATCTACTCGAGCAAAATGAAAAAATATTATGAATAAAAAAATAATTTTCATATAATTTTTACCCTTATAAAGGGGCACATGATGGAGTGCCACATGAATTAATTTGATGTGCATTACATCACAAATGTATGTTTTGAACGCGTATGCTCATGTTATTAAAATTAACTGTGAACTGTCCCATGAGTTTTCATTTATTGTACAGTTGGTAAAGAGATATCCCATTTTTGCTCAACTTTCTTTTACTTTTCACCCGGCTTTCCTTATAGAACGTTTGTCCTCAGTTTTTTATCTCAACTACTTAGGCTTCATTTGGGACGGCTTTCTTACTGCTTTTTACTAAAAAATTGTTTCAAGAAGCAGAAAGGAAACTGTCCCAAACGAAGCCTTAGTATTCGGTTTATGCACACCCTCATGAAATGTCCAGTTTATAACTAACATATTTTTACTTGTACCAACAGCTAGGTTATGTTGTTTATCGGCGTGTTCTTCGCTATTATTCCGGCGAAGAAGACGGTCTCGGTGAGCATATCCTAACCTAATTTTTACTATCTTCTTAATATATCTTCTTATGTTGATCTGCTGCCATTTTCAGATATGAGAAAGGCCTTATCTCGTGATGTTGAGAAGAAATCTATGATCCCACTCAAAAGGCCAATCACTCCTGATGAGCTTGAGTATGATTGACTAAATTGTTTTGTCTCTTTTTAATGTCTGATCCAATTTCTGAAACTTTAGCATTTGCTTGCGTTGAAACGTTATAATTAGATGTTTGTTTCCATTTTCTTGTCGCATTAGCGTCAAAAAATATGTTTTTATTTAGAAAAAATTGTATCAGAATATATTTATCCCAAAAAAAAAAACTAGAATAGTTCTCAATACTTGAAATTAATGTAATAGTAATTATTTATATATTGCATATATCTCAAAATAGATATTGGGGCTTTGGTTTCCGTGGCTTTGGGGAAATTATTTTGTGTGGTTATTGGACGCCGTTTGGAGGCAAATCAGGATGTGTTACGTCACTTTGTGTATCGTTGTTGTGTTCCGTTCTGTATCGAGTGAAGTAGCGCATCTTGATTCTCTTTCGAATAGTTTAGTGACCGTACAGAATAATTTCTTGTGGCTTTGAGACTCATGATGGTCTTATTTTAATCTTGCATTTTGTTGTTTTGAGAAGAAAATTGTAATGTTATTATTATTATTATTATTGCATTTTCTTTTGATATTATCAATTTAAGACAAATAGGTATTGTTATTATTATTATTATTATTATTATTATTTTGGTTCTTCCATTTGTTTGCTTAGAAACATTTTAGTGATTAGATGAAAGCCCTATTTAATATCATTTATGTCATGATAGGATATAATGTGATGTTAGCTTTAAAACCCTTAATACTCTGCGAATTTTTGTTCTTACACTTTTTTCTTATTAAAATAGTTTTTTAATATAAATTTTTAAATTCAAAATTAAAAAATTACTTTAAAAATCAATAAGAAAGTTGCTCCAAACTAAGGCTTCATTTGGGATGGCTTTTTTATTGCTTTCTAAAACGGAGTTTTAGTACAAAAATAAAAAATTTTGTACTAAAATTCCGTTTTAGAAAACAATAAAAAAGCCGTCCCAAACAAAGCCTAAGCCTTAGAGCAACGGAATGAGTAAGAAGAAGCAGTTTGAGAGAAGGAGAGAGAGAGAGAAGAGCATAAGAAAGCAAAAAAAAAGCCCAAGAAGAATATCTTTTAAAGAGAGCATGAGATTTATAAAATAGTTTTTTAATATCTATAAAAAAGGCCCAAGAAGAATATATATATAAAGAATTCTCAGAGCTTCTATTTGTAAAATTTCTTTATTTCTTTATCTTTGTACCTTACAAATCATACAAGTAGGGCTCAGTGGCAGCAACAAACAGGTATATAGGGGTGTAAATGAGTCGAGTTAAGTTCTAGTTATTTCTAACTTGAGCTTGAATTTGATTAATTAATCAAGCTTGAGAAGGCTCATAAATTATGAAAGGAGAAATAATTTTGATTTAACCATTTATTATACAATAAAATGATAAGCAAAATGAGAAATTAGATAAAAAATGATAAAAAAAATCAATTATTATAAGAGAGAGATAATTTTCAATAATTCAATAGCTTTGTATAAAATTCTTAAATTTTAATTTTGCAAAGTGTTTTTATATTAATATTTTTTAATGAGTTAGCTCATAAACTAATAAGTTGATCTTTGACTAGTTCAAGTTTGCACATTAGCTCCTCAAATTTGGCTCGTGAGCTATTTATTAAATTGAGCCCGAATTGGTTCACAAGCCAGCTCGACTTCATTACATCCTTAATTTTGTATCTTAGGAAATATTTTATATAGAGGAAACTATGAAAGATTTTAGGAGGTTTGGAATGAAATATACGAGTAATACTCCTGAAAATATTTTAATGGAAAACTATGAGGAGACTGAATTTCTATACAATCATAGTAAGATTTTAGCAATTTATCACCTTCCAATTTTTGCTTGTTAGCTTGTCTTAGATCAAAGGCAGCACAATTGCCCCCAAAAATGAAATTCACTTCACTTAAATAGTGACCATTATTAGAAATCACAATTGCTAAATCTTTTTAATAATTAAATTTACTTAAAATTAATTTTTTCATAAAAGTGTTATGAAAATTTCAATATGAATGATAAACTTTCTAAAACATAGTATCTTAAATTTAAGATAAAAAATCTCAATCAAACTTAAAATGTAATATAGAAAAATAACTAATGAATCTTCTTCTTCTAAATTTATCTTATTATTTATTTTCTTATATATTCTTTAAAATCAAAATTATTTCATTAGTTGAGCTCTATTATATGAAAATTGTTAGAATAATATATTCATTTATCAATTATAAAAAACAAGTTTAATTGGAAATATAGAAAATTCTTCTCATAAATCTAAGTCAATTGGAAATATAGAAAATTCTTCTCATAAATTTAGGGCAAAAAATAAAATTTATCATTACAAATATATGAATTTGATTTCAATTATTTAAAATTTATACTTATTATGTTTTAAAATTAAAGTTATTTTCTCATACAAATTGTAAAAAATTTAATGCAACCAAATTAGGACCAGATGATCATTATTATTATTTTTTAACCAAAGAAAAATTTTTATGGTGGAAAGTTGCTTTTTGCAATCATAATAGTAAAGTTATTTTCTCCACAACAACTTCACGATCAACTTTATAAAATACTGCTGCCATCTCAAAAAGAACCTTAGTTTAAGATTAATCATATAACACTGAGAGATATTTGATTTTAGTTCTGAATTTTATTTGTGGGCAATAACATAAATTTGCTAGCATGCCAATGAAAGAATAACCAAAGATTTGAGAGAAAAAAAAAAACAAATCTTTATAGGTTTGTATTGAATATACATCTAAATTTTTTGAGAGCCTGATTTTTGTAATTAGTTCTTGAATTAATAATTAGGATTTCATTTAGGATGACTTTCTTACTGCATCTTAAAGTAATTTTTAATATAAAATTTAAATTTTTTTTACTAGAAAATTTCTTACAGAAACAGTAATTACTAATTAGAAAGCAGTCCCAAATAAAAATTAAATAATCTTAAATTTAGAAATTATGATTTACTTTGATCGTACTATTCTTATCTATTTTTTTTTTCTTTATTTGTATTTGAACTTTTCAATTATTTCACATGGCAGAGACTGCCTACTTGTTTTTCAATGACCACATACATTTATTTTAGTGTTTTTTTTTTTAATTTTTTTGTTGGGAATTTAATGACAAGTTAGGGAGAGTGGGTCCCGTTACTCAACCATAAGTGAATAAAACGTGCACACACATCTAAAACATTTTTAGGCTGTGTCCAAGCCAATCTGACATCTTGGCATTTCAGGATAAATTGAGATTTTATTTGGGATGGCTTTCTTATTATTCTTTAAAATAATTTTTTAGTATAAAATTTTGTTTTTTGTATTAAAAATTTGTTTTAAGTAACAGTAAGAAAGCCGTTTCAAAAGAAACCTAAAAGGGGTCATCATCGTCATAGTGAGCTCGGTACCAAGTCAACTAAAAAGCGAACCATTCTACTCGTTAAGCTAAGGCAGGTGGAATTATTCTGTGAGGATACTTACGTCATCTGTAGCTGAATACTATTGTGTATTGGGTGACGTGACGTGTTTTGATTCGTTTTTAAATGATTCGATGTCCACAAAGAAAAATTTCTCCCAATGCAAATTAGGTAGATTGACACAAGCTACTCAATATGGTTATTTTATGTGGCCTCAACCGTTATCACATGTGAGTCCAAGCCAATTATTATGTGAGGATACTTACAAGCCAGCTCGAGCTCGAGTTCAAGCTGACTTTTTGACCGACGAGCCGAACTCGATAATGTCATTACTGGACTCGACTCGTCTTATTTACACCCTTAATGAAATTGGAAGTAAAAACTTATTTATTTTAGTGCATTGTGGGAATTAATGACACTTTAGCAAGAGAGGGGCTTATGATGGGCATCACTCATCTATGACAGCTTTACTATTATTATTATTTTGAAAATAAAACGTCGAAGCTCAATATATTGCATATGTAATTCAACTTAAGTCTTCAAACAATAAATTATTAGGGTCTATTTGTGATGATTGTAATATTTTATAAAGTTGATTATGAAATTAGTATATAATAAGTATATATATTACGTTCCTGCTCTGGTTGCCAAAAGCAACTGTCTAATATATAAATTTATGATAAATAATAGTGAGAAAATAACAAACAAAGTTGCAGCCAAATAAATTTATGATTGTTGCCTAAAAAATTATACGGCAAAAAAATTGTCTCCTACAGCAGAAAAAATATTACATGCAGTCACCTGACCGTCCAAAGGCGAATCAGCAAGCGCCACATCACGCGGTACACAATACTGGTACATAATAAAAAAAGTAATGTGGCACGTCTTGATTCACCTATGAACGAAATTTATGACCGCATGCAATAATTTCACCCCATACAGACCCGTACTATGATGTTGTTTGGACCATAAACTCAAATATGCTAGCTTGTCCTAAAATTTGAGACAAGTCAAAGAATGCTGGAAATAAAACTATTGCGACACAAAAACGAATGCGAGAGCTTCAGACAAAACTATCAAGTAGATAACGTAAAGCAGCTTTTATTTCATCTAGCCAAAGCTTACAGCTTAAGCTTTTATCACCGCAACATCATACAGAAACACATGAAACACAACATAAATACTTTATCACTGCAGCGAAATTATTCTGTGTGGAGGCCAGACGTAGCTCTACATCCAGAGGCGAATCAGTTGCAATCGCGCCAGTGGTACCGAGCTGAGGTACCAAGCAGTACCGAGCCACGATACCGAACGAAAGAGTGAAGTGGCGCATTCTAATTGATCTCCGAACGACGTTCAACATTCACACAGAATAATTAATCTTCAGTGCAACACCTTACATAGAAATACGTTTATTTAAACTTCCATAGCAGCTGCTGATATAATATAAGTTGTAGCACTGCAAATTTCAAATAGAAATACTGTTTGGAATCCCCTTTACGGTGATCCCTGGTCCACTATAAGGCGACAGCAGCGTGTAAGGAATCTGAGCCGGTCCACTCCGGTTCTTCAAATCCGGGTCACGGTTCAACTCACTAATCTTCGTCTCAATCTCCTTCAACTTCGAACCGAACCGGTTAAACGCTTCAATAACTCGGTTATCGTTGGCCCATTCGGCACTGGCTCTCTGACCCAAATACAGCTCATCACTCGTATGATTAGACAGAGCCTCAATCAACGATATGCCAATTATTGTCTGCACCTGGCTCGTTATGGTCTTCAGAAGCACCTTCTCCGGGTTTTTCTTCAGCTCCTCGTATTCGACCGAACCGGGTTGGGGCATGAACCGCCGGCTCATGGTGGGGCGGTTCGGGAGATAGCCAGCGTAAGGGTACTGGCCGAAGTTGACGGCGGCGTGCATGGCCGACGCAATCCAGATGATGGTGGTGCAGGATTGGATGAGATTGTCGACGTTGGTCATTGTAGGCCACCAAGATTGGTTTTTGTGGTCGCCATGCCCGACTTCGCGAAGCTCTTTCCACCATGATTGGAGCTCTGTGTCTTTTTTAATGGCGGAATCGTCGGGGTAATAGATGGCAGTGTATTCACGAACCCAGGTTTCAATGGCGTACCAGATGGCGAGGCCGTCGACGGCGTAGGGGTAGTCGGGAATGATAAGGCGGAGCTTGTCGCCGTCAACTTCGGCCATTCCGCTGTAAATGATAAGATTATCGCGCGTGTTAGCTTTGTAAAAAATCCAAGTTTTACAGGTACATATAATTATATATGACATACCGCTTGAGAAGATCAGCTGGCAGGCCCTGTTCGACGAAATTCCAGCTCTTGTAAATATCTGCGGACATCTCGAGAGAATACTTAGTGGGGAAGACGGTGTACTCGATCAGCCCACCGGCACTGAGAAGTGCATGACGACCCTGAGCATTTATGTGCATTGTGTCACGGAAGTGAGGTGCCAGTAGCTTGTTAATAGGATGCATCGCACTCAAATGTCGGTTTGTCGCAATAACAAATGGCTCGATCACTGCGTGAGTACGCAGCCTGCAGGCACCAAAACCACAAAAATGATCACAAAAAAGATTGATGTCGCGGGTCAAGGGGCAGCTGTAGGATTTCCGGATGCAGCCCCTACGGTTTTCAGGGTCAGTGCTCCCGGAATAAATTTTAATTTATTATTTCTCTTTGTATTTTGATTCATCATTTCATAACAATAACACATCTACAAAATGTGTTTAATTATATATGCTGGGGACAATTGACTAAATATCCGAACCCGATCAGTTTTTCAAACGGGTCGAAAAGTCGAACCCGGACCCGACCCGTCCGCAAACGGGTTGACCCAAACCCGGATTTTTCCGGGTCGGGTTTCGGATCGGGTCAAAAGTTGACACCCCTAGATCACCTTATACGTCAATTACTATCAAAAAGATGATTTTTTTGCAGTAGATATTTGAGGCGATCATGCAACGATCCTTGCAGCGGTCCTAAACCACTGCGGATTGTCCTTTCAGCGCGTTGCAATTACAATGGTCATGCAGTGGGCAAAGAAAAAAGTAGCGGTTAAAACCGCCGGTATAGATCAAAATTTGTGTTACGTTAACCCTGTTTCTTTTATTCATTAATGAATAAAAATTGCTTACCAGTGACTGATAAGCTGGTGGATACCGGAGTCGTTGACAAGGGCATAGGCTTTGGCAAGTAACCAGATGGAGCTCTCCACGCCTACACTGGCCGGTTTGTAAACCGTGCTCACGGCGCCGTGATTGTCGCCGCCTGGATGGGGAAGGCTGAGCTCGATAGCCAGCGGCTTCAAAGTGCCATCCTTTTTGAGGAAGAACAGAGTACGGGAGGCGTAGATTTTGTTGTCTGTGCTGTTGATGCGTCTCAAATATGGCATAATTGCATCATGGTGGTCAATGATGAAAAGTTTCTTCAATTGAAGCGCCTGAGAAGTGGAAAGATGGAGAGGATTGTGATTAAATTGCATAATCTTTTGGAACATTTAATTACTGCGATAAACACGATCAAATATGACAAAATAGTTTCTTTTTGACAGACATGGAAAGATAAAATAGTTGAGATTAAGTTAGAATTACTTCATAAACAGAGTAGCCGTCAAGGTTGTCTTGGATGTCTTGCTCTTTGAAGGTGCTGTTCTGGTTGCCGTAGAGGGAAGGATCAAGACTGCTCTTTGGTGGAAATTCCTTTGAGATAGTTAAAAACATGTAAGGTTAATTAGTTTCAGGTTTTAATTTTTCTATTAAATGATTTGTTATAAGTAATGAAGAGGGAAGGTGAAGAGTGCCTTGAGTAGTTGGATCATGATTGGGTTGACGCCGGCCAGTGTTTCCCGTGCGAATTCTTCGTCGGTCCTCCACGCCGATTTATCCTCTGAAAAAAAAAAATTATGTTTAAGCAAAATCAACATCGTTCATTTCATTTGGAGCTTCGGCTTTGATACACTTCTTCAAAAACAAGATCAAAAGCTGCGATAAACATAAAATTTTGATCTATCATAGCTGCACTTCAAGGCTGGCTACACTCTTTTACAATTTTAACGAATCAAAATCAAATTTTTATCACAATATTCTGAACCAAGTATATGAAAATGGATATTGAGTGGAAAAAAGTGCTAACTTTGAATGATATTGGGCACCGGAAGCTTGAGTACGCCGCTATTCGCCGGATTACTGTTGAATTGAGCGATGAAGGTCATGATTAAGAGCTCAAATGGCATGGCCTGTATGAACTTTCGAACGAACGGAATGTCCGGCAGAGGCAAGCCGCCCTCGTAGAGGCCAAGAATTTCATTCAAGGAGTCGAACTCATTGGGAGTCAAGTCGAGGAAGGCTTGGAGCGTTGGCAGCAGGACCTTGCCTACCGTCTTCATGGCGTGGCCCAATAACTCCGCAATCTTCAACTGCCCAAACATCTCATCCCGTGGCACGTAGATGCTCAAATCAGCCAAACAAAGTCGACTCTCCGTTTTTGGATCTGCAGCAATCGACCAGAAAATTTAGTACCTCAAAGATATAATTTTTTTAAATTTATATATCTTATAAATCAAATAAAGTTTAGAGGGCAATCTTTTATAGAATAAATAATTACAAGAGGAATTGAAGGTAAAATTTTAAAAAAATTATATAACTGTATAAGATTTTCTGAATTCTAGAGGAAAAAGAGCAACCTCTTGCCCTTGGTCATGCCATGCATATGCATAATGATGAGTTTTAGAACATATATGATTTGAGCAGATTAGTGCATATCACTTTTGGTGAGCTTTAATTTGATTAATTAATTAAGTTCTAATTTAATTCAAAGAGTTAGAGTCTACGCATGGAGAAATTATTTTGTGCAAAGTCGGGATGCAGAATGTCATCTAGAGGCCAACGAGATTGCATCACGTCAGCGGTAGCAAGCAATACCGAGCCGTAGTACCGATATACCGAGCCGTGGTACCGAGCTAAAGGTGACATGGGACATTCTGACTGGTCTCTAGAAGACGTTTGTCATCCGCACAGAATAATTAATCCTAGAGCATGTGTCATTATTATGTTGATAGAAAAAATAGACCCATATATTCATGCAATTATTTTCATAAAATGATAAAAAAATAAAAAAATAATAAATCACTTGATATTAGTTTTTAAGATATGCTTTTTAAATATTTTAATAATATTATAATTAAATTTCTCATTGTTGTATTTTATAATAGTATTTTTTTAAATGAGTCAGCTTGCAAGCTAACGAGCTGAGATGGCTCGGGATTTGCTTAAATTTATCTTATAAGCTCATCAAGCTCAACTCAAAAGTTGAGTTAGCTCATGCTCACTTAACTAACTCACACCCAAAGTGCTACAAAATCACTTAGCAAATCGAGTTGATACCCCTGCTTACCAGGAGACTTGGATAAATTATTAGGTTCGAATATCGGACAGAGAGAATTATTCGGATTTCTTTCTGTCTACAGTAAAAGAACATGCAATCAAAGCACAGCTGTTACAATAAATATATTTTTACTATAGACAGAGAGAAATCCGAATGATTCTCTCTGTCCAGTGTCCACACCTAATAATTTGCTGGAGACTTTGAGCTCCTCTGTGAGAGAGTTCATTACTTACCGGATTTGGTCGGCGGGCGTCCGGTCTTGCCACGGCGAGGGTAAGGGAGCTGGGGATTGCCACCGAGGACTGGGCGGGCCAAACTCGGGTTGATGTCCGGGGAACCCAGATCGTTGTAATAGGCATAGCCATACACGCGATCCCACTCCTTCAGCTCTCTGTTCACATTGTCTCCCCTAAGATTCTGTAGCTCCTCCGCCCTGTATTCCCTTAGTGGCTCCGGCGTGTTTTCCGCCATGAAAGTCTGCAAAGCCCCAGCTTAGTTTCATAATAGTTCGTACTCAAGGTATTTCAGGCGAAATTTTTAAAAGGAACAAGTTTCACCTATCATTTACGAGAAGCAACATGATATAAATTTAATTTAAATAGGATAAAAAATGGATTATATGATGGAGTTTTGTCTGAAAAACTCGGAAATGCAAAAAAAAAAAAACGTAATAAACGTGAACATTAATTGCGTTTTCTGGTAAAATGCATTTTTTTACACATTATATTTATTTAAATTGAGTTATATTTATTTAAATTGTTTTATTTAAACACTATTATAATAATATTTAAGACCCTATGTAGACCAAATTTATTAAAAAAATTGTATATTAATAACAGTTTAAATAAAACAATTTAAATAAATATAACGTTATTATTATTTGTAAAAACAATATTTACTTATTTAGTTATATATAAACTTACGCTTATTGTAATGATATTGTAAAAACAATTTAAATAAATATTGACGCAGCAAAAAATAAGTATTGAATGGAAAAACGATTTTTTTTTTTTCCTTTTCAGACAAAATCCTTTTTAATTTAAATTTATATCAATATCCTTCTCCTAAATGATAGGTGAAACCTGTTTCTTTTAAAATAATCGTTCGTACTCAAAGTATTCGACGATATTTCTCAAAGAGAGCAACTTACGTCGTTGGCGAAGAAGATGCGGTCATAGTCATACTTATTAGCGTTATATACCCAGGAGTTGCAGTCAAAGTGAATTCGACCTTTTCCGGGGAAGTTCTCTAAAGTGATGGATTTTAGGTAAAACTCGGTCAAATTTTGGTTTTTGACGATGATGGCGCCGGGGATTCCCTGTCTTTTGTCAATTATGAAGGTTGCGCCGTAAATTTTCTGGAAAGGTACGATTTTTGGGATGATCTCCAGGTGCGCCGCCGCTCCTATCACTCCTCTGTTCCCGTTTTCTGCAAAATAAAACAAGCATATTAATTATTCTCTGGTAGTATATGTTATATTTGAATGGGGAGAGGAAGTGGACGACGGACTGTGATCGCCGACGGTGGCGCTGACGAGGCGGAGCTCGACATTCTGACCGAGGAACTCTTCAATGTGGTTGGGAACAGAGGCGTTCAGGATGTTTAGGGAGAGAACCTTCTTGTCGACGATAACAACATGGGCTTTCACCTTTGTTTTTCCTGCATTTAAACAGTCTTTTACTTGGTCACTTAGCATCTTGCGGGAATGGCGATAGGAAATTAAGAGAGCTTGGAGAGAAAGAACGAGAAGAAGAAGCTAGCTGGAGCCTGGAGGTTGTGTGGCTTGGAGAAGTTTGGGGTGGCATTTATAGGTCATCGCTAGCAATGTGAATGCTGGAGACTGGTTTCATTGGATTTTCTTTTCAATATACATTAATGAGCTGATTATGTTGGGAAGATTACATAACTTTATTCGACCCCTCAAAGTGAAAAATTATTTTGCGCCGACCTCGGAGACCAATCAAAGGGGCCACTTCACCATTTTACATTTTTACTGTACCGCGGCTCATTATTGTTCGGTGTGCTGCCGTGACTGAACTTGATTCGTTTCCGGACGTAAAGCTGCATTCGGCTTCCGCACAGAATAATCTCTCCCTCGAGTGGTGATTAAAAGTATGGATTTTTATATTGGCCTCATATGAATGTCGTGGTGGTGAATTGATGACATGTTAGCAAGAGAAGGTCTCATGAGGGGCAAATTATTGTGTCCGGTCACCTGACATGTGAATATCCAATCCGGACACGCCACCTCACCCGGATGCCCTGGGCCCCGATATTTTTGAGTGACGTGGTGCATTTTATTGGTGTTCGGACGAATCCAAACACCAGACATAATAATTTGCCCTCAGAGGGGGATCAGTCACCTATAATAGATTTACTGCTATTATTTTTATTTTTTTAAATAAGACATTGGAGCTCAATATATTCAATAAATTTTTAAATAATTGTATATGTAATTCAACTTAGGGTATATTTGGGACGACCGCAATATTTTATAAAGCTGATTATGAAATTATTGTGGGGAAAGTATCTTAGCTTTGGTTGTAAAAAAAAAACCTTTTACTATAGAAATTTATAAAAATAAAAATGAGAAAGCATTAGCTAAATGAAATTATGGTTGCTATCTAAAAAGCAAAGCAACAAGAAAGTTGCTCCAAATAGACTCTTAATATGGTAGTGTTTGGGCAACACCAATAATTTCAAGAGGTTATATTGAGTTGTATGCTTTTGCTGATGATATTCTTCTTGTTGATAAGACTAGAGAGGGGGTTGAAGGTAAACTTGAATGATGGAGGTCGACTTTAGAGTCTAAAGATTTTTCATTTAAGTATATCTAAAAACGAATACTTGAAATGTAATTTTAGTAGTAATAAGAGTACTTGTTTTTGACAGGGATGTCAAAAAGGGTTTTCGGGTAGGGTTCAGGTCCAACTCAATATTGACATGCCCTTTTTTTATCCGTCCCTATATTCCATTTACACCATTGTTTATCATCTTTAGAATTAGACAACATCTCAAAATGACCCCAAATCACTAAAGTCATCCTTCTACGCTTTTTAACAATCTACGAACTATCATTACATATTTGCATGCATCATTAGATGCCTCTATCACATTTTCGTCACTGCCAACTTGCTCATTCTCATAAAAAATTTCTCAAAATGGTTTTAAAATCGTCACAACCCAACCTGATTTGGACAAGTCCTATCGTGTTGGGCTGCGATAGACAATGTCGTTAAAACCCGACTCGATATCACACATGTCATACTGTATCTGATTGTGGCAAGATTTGTAGAACTCTATGAGTTCTTGAATAGAACCTTTCGGTTCTTGAAGCAGGAAGCAGAGAGGAAAAACTAAATCTTATTATTATGACTTGTCATTACAGGGAAGAAGATGGCCTATATATAGGCAAGCATAGACATACAGATAACAGCTACCAATGATCTACTGCCAGCTCATTCATAAATATTAATTACATTTTGGCTTACTTCCTAATAAGATTCACCTCAAGATCTGGTTGGAGAAATACTAAAATAAAGCTTCCAATTTATGTACTACACATAGCCACTATTGAATGCAATAAAAAGTGAAAGACTACTGAATTTCAACATGATTTTTTATATATCATCTCAAATCTATATAATTTAAAATCTACCTACAACAGTGCTTTACAATAGAGAGCATAAGAAAAAAATAAAAGTCAAGTCTGCAAAAATCAAAACTAACCATAACATACATACAACTCGGATCTGAGCGTGCTATTCAAACTACTCAGCTTACTCCTTACTCTTCCCTGAGTCTAAAAATAAAAGTAAAAGCATGAATGAACTAACACAGCTCAGTAGGCTTTCAAAGCCTAAAACATAAATCAATAACCAAAATCAAAAGAACTGAGATCATTGTACTGAATCATATAATGAAATTAAATATAATTAAATGAACTCACACTTCGAGAACTTAGCATATAATTGATGTTACCTTAGAATCTCCAAAGCAGACCTTAAGTGTGTTACATGCTCCTTAGATTTAGAATAAATCCTAATATCATCTATAAATATAATCTCAAACTAATTCAGATACTTCTTGAAAACCATGTTCATTAATTCCATGAAGACTGCAAGAGCTTTAGTCACTCAGAATGCCATGACTAAAAACTCATAATGTTTGTACCTCGTACTAAATGCAATTTTTCAAAATTTTGAGTTATAACAAGCAAATCCCAATAATCTAGTTTTGGAATATTTCATATTTTCTTTTAAATTTTATTTTGAATAAATTACATACTATAAAGCTACTAAAACATCCAAGTAATAAAAATAAACTTTTTTTTTGGGACATTTAGGCCATTTATGGCAAACTCACACACACAACGCATACACATAGACTCGAACCCTGGACCTCTTAATTGGAAGCCTAAGCTCTCAAACAATAGGCCAAGGAGAGTTGTGTATAAAAATAAACTCAATCAAGAATTTTTTTTCATGTTATCAAATTATATTTATACTAAAATACATAGCTATAAATAGAAGCTATAAAATTGAATAATAAACTAATCATGTTTGTACAAAAATAAAAATAAAGAAATACTTATAAACTTAGATCAAATCCTGAAAAGCTAATCAACCGGCGTCTTCCATTTCCTATATGGCTATATACTGAAAATGAGAAACAAACCATAGTGAGCTATAATAGCATAACATGTCACACAAATCGATCTAAATTTTTAATTTTTTATTAAATATTTTTCAGAATATTTAAAATAAGTTAAATACAATATACTGAGTAGAGTAGTAAAAGCATTACAGTTATTCAGATATTCAAATAAAATAGTGAGCAATTAATTAAATTGAAATTCATACATATAACAGTAAATTGAAATTTATATCACAGAACAGTTCATATCAGTTTTCTCTTTTCCCATACCTATATAGAATCTCAAAAGATACTTGTCCCTTATGACTCCCCTTTGTTCTTCTAGTACCATAATACGTCCATAGGTATCAAAACATGACTTATAGCCACGAAAATATGTCTTATAAGCACCAAAATATTTTCTAATATAGAGAGAATCTCAAATGATTCTTACCCTTTTATATTTCTTAATAGTCATAATATACTCACATATATACATATTTTATCACATCATAATAATTAAATAATAATTGAGCATATGTAAGAATTGCACGATCTTAATTCTATAATAATTGCACGATCTTATTTCTATAATGGCAAGTAACTGAATTTCTCCTGAGTAAAATTTCACAATTTCAAAATATAACAAAATTAACATGGATTGTGTAAAACACTATTTTAATACTTTAATTGTGCTGTAATACTATTTTTCAGAGTTTAGATTATTTTTTATTCAACTAAAATCACACAAATTCTAAGATGCTAGATATAAAATTTTTAGAAATTCTCAAAAATTTCAATATTTTAAAATCTATAGCATATAAAAAGTTATAATTTAAAAATTTTATCAGTGCAAAGTTATCCATATTTTTTTGATAAAAAAATATAAATTTAATATTTTTTTTTTGAAAAACTTCTAAATTTTAAAAACTAAGATATACATAATTTGACATACCATGATTCAAACAACTTTTTCCCACTTACATCGTCGCATGTGTAAGGTACCTCCAGTCACCATCGTTTGACTTTGGTCCCGATCCCTCCAACCACCGTTGCCTAATTACGGTCCTACTGAATTCTATCGCCCAATTGCGGTCCTTGGACAATCATCACTCAACTATGATCCCTCTGACTTCTGTCGCCTGCTGACTATGTTATATAAGACCATTGTCACTCGTCTATGGTCCTACCGACCAAAAAAATAAGCCAACATTCTCTTAAAAAAAATTCTCATGTCATTTAGTTTTTTCAACTCCAACCATATAATGTGCTTTGTACTATATATATATTTGCTACATTAAGCCAATGTCTTCCCTCGAGGAAGGGCATCATTTGTAATCAACAACAAACACTTCTAGATTCATTTTAATTAGGTTAGGCCCTATAATGTTTCCATTGGTATTTCTTATAAATATATTGTGTCACTTATAATTATAATTATAGCACCCTCTCTCTTATATGTATCCGTGTTGGATCTTCGTACAAAGCTAGGACGTTAAACTTGCCATCTCTCTACTACCTCAAATGTTTCAACATGCTTCAAGGATTTATAATAGTATTATTGATAAAAGAGAATAAATTTGAATGGTGGAGATTTAAAGTAGTATAAGTTAAATGAATGGATAAAATTTTACGTTGGATAAAACTCAAGCTACTTTTATAATAATAGTATAAATAGTATAGATTTATTTTGGTTTAATTATATTAATCATAGTCATATGAAATGTAATAATTATTAACAATTGAATGTTAATTAATGAATTAAATTGTTAATAATTAATTAATGAATAGTCATTACTCTCCAATTACTGTAAATGAGAGGAGCTTGCGATTTGATCCTAAAGCCCATGCATAAAAATAAACATTTGCTTGCAAGCTTATAAAAACAAAAATACTAATATCCCTATTGAATCAAGATAGTAAATAAACTTCGAGATGAAAGAATGATGCCCCAAGGCACAAAAATAATTACTTGAGATTTTTTTTTTTGGACATTTAGGTCAGTTAAGGTAGATTCACACACACAACGCATACACATGGCTCGAATCCAAGACCTCTTAGGCAGAGGCGGATCCAGATTCCCTTTTAAGGGTGGGAAAAAATAATTTTTTTGATGGGTGATGGGCAAAG